AATATTCTTCAAAATATTATTATATTATGTAATTATTAATCATAATAATTTTAGATATAAAATAAAAATTGAAATTAGTAATTTAAAAGTCCAGTTTGAAGTAAATATATATATATGTATTCAAGAATTGATTTAGTATTAATAACAATATTCATATTAATCATTTAACCATTTAATGAAGAAATAAATTAATATTTAATTAATATTTTGTAGTGGTAATTAAATAACCATTTGTGTACATTTTTATATCACATTAATATTTTACCTTCCAAACTATTTTAAATGGTATTTCCTACCTGGAAAAGGCATTTTCATAATCCTGGTTTGCGGATAACCAAGTTTTGTGTTTCCGGTCACGGTGTAGGATCTACTAGGAGGGACAGGTGGCGGCCGTTCCTGTATGATAAAAGAAGGATTATATTAAGTTAGAAAGTTTTCTCTTGCAACATTTTACGATAAATTTGCACAAAATTTGCGATTCTAACTGAAACTGAATTCTACTAAAGTATTAAATCCATTATAACGTTTTATTATCTCATATAATGTTTAGATTTAAAAATATATAAACAATAAGAATCTTATTTAAACTGTATATCTGAGAACACAATCAATGCTAGAAATTAAATGCCTACAACGGAAGCTGGATTTTTAATGCTTACATAATTCAATGTGAATTATATATATGTTATGTACATGCATGTATATTCGCCTCTGTAGTCTAAAAACTTAGAACGCTCGAAATACAAGAGATCCGGGTTTGACTCCCGGTCCAAGTAATATTTTTCGCAATAAATTTACAGTTTTTCAGTACGTTAACATCTTTCTAATATGATGCCCGATTGAACATCAAATTATTAAAAATTGCTTGTTAATTTAATAAGTTATTATAAGAACGAAGGACTCTTAATTTAAAAAACAATAACGAGAGAATAAAGAACATATAAGAGTCAATTATAAAGAAATATTTTAAAAGATGAAAAATTAAAAGAAAATATGTATAATATAATATTCTATAATTGATTAAAAATATAATATGTTTCGGTCTCACGGAGATGTTACGTTGAATGAGAACATCGAATAGATAGACAAAATTATATAGTGATGATGACCAGTGAGATGCTTTCTGAAGAATGTATATTTGAGTATTCATATCTAAAGAAGGCTCAATAATCGTGAGATCGAAATGTTATATTTTTAATCAATTATAAAATATTATATTATACATACTTTATTTTGATTTTTTTATGTTTTAAAATTTTTTATATTTGACTTTTATGTGCCCTTTATTCTCTCGTTATTGTTTGTTACTTTAATTTAATTTATGATGTTATTACAGTAGTATTTAATTGCATTTATAAATCCGGAAAACATTAATTCGGCGCGCAGTTCGAATGACTACAAATATGCATGTACATATATACACACAATGAATTATTTAGTATTAAGTATTAAATTTTATATTTAGTATTAAGTATTAAGTATTAAAGATCCAGTTTCAACTGTTACAGGCATTTCATTTGTATTGATAAAAATAAAAAAGTATATAATTGAAACATAAAAAGTACATTCACACACGTGTATAAAAAACTGTATATTCTTATATTTTTTTGAACTGTACATTTTTCTCTTTGCGAAATAATGTTATTTCGGTGCTTACTAAATCCAATCCAAAAAGTGTACAAGTTTGTTGGATCATCTTCTGATCGGCGCATTTCTCCGAAGGATCGGGAGGAGGTGTACCAGCGATTGGTTGCGGTCTTGGACGAGTGCCAGTCCCAGTTCCTGTACCAGCAGTGACATTCCTCTGAACGGTTCCGGTATTGGTTCCAGTAGGTGGTTGTTGAGGTTTCTTCTGTCCAATGCCACATGTTATTCCTACGGTTGTTCTTCTCAAAGGCCATCTCTTTCGTACGCGCCATCCTCTCCATGTAGCCTGGAAATGAAATTAAAACGAACGTAATTTAAAAATTACATTTTTCTTCTTCTGGATGTAGAGATAATTAAATATAATAAAGGCTACATTCTAGTCTTAAGCATTATCTAACAAAGTTTTAAAAATAATTATTTTTATTAAATGTTTGAAAGAGAAAAAAATTGTTTATATCAAAAAATTTGAGAAGATGTAGCGAAATTGTTAAAAATAAAGTATGCTTACCTGAATTGCTGTAGCAGCTTTTCTTCGTGTTTCCGCCCGCAGATTTTCGAGCTGCTGTCTGATACCTTCGCTGAGAAAAATATGCCGTTTGCCGACAGCCCAGCTTGTGCTAGCGCCAAACTTACTCTTTAGCTGCTGCGCATTTTGTAAAATCAATTTCGTGTCCTCGACAGCCTGCTCCTCGGCGCGACGTAGTTGTTTGAAAGGTGCGATCAACCTATATCTCGCATTGAAAGCTTTAAATCGCATCCTATGTGGATATCCTGTATGAGTCATCATATATATTAGCTTCAAGATCTAATCGTAATTAATTTTGATTAAATAATGCTGTTTTATTTAAATAAAACTATTTTTAATAAGATATAAAGAAAACGTAAATATATTCATTATTAATTTGTTACGAATTAATTACATGTTTTTTTTATATATTTGTAATTATACATAAATTATCTATGTTTTTTTTTCCACTTTGATTTATTTATTGTGATTAAAAATTTTTTATTATTATTATATATACAAATCAAGATTTTCTTAATAAATTTGAATGTTTTAACTTGATTAGAATAAAATTTTGCGCTATCTTACCTCCCGCCATGAGGTTTACTGTTTCCAGAACTTGCAACGAACGTATTTGGCGCATCGTAACTCCCCTGTCGAGGTGCATTGGCGTCTCGGTGCTATTGCTACGGATGCATCTGACGAAGTGCGGTCTAGCATGGACAAGAGTCCTCAAGAGATTATCTAACCTTGTATGAAAGTCCTGTGTCAACGTTGATATTGGCTCGTCTCCGTTTAAACTGTAAAGAACAACTTTACTTTTTTTGCGCTAATTTCTTTTAAATTTTACAATCAACTTATTACGATTATAATTACTTATAAACGCGTTGGTCTTGTTTAAATAATTATTACAATGTAGAAATTATTTGTATACATTTCAAGTTTATCACTAATGAAGATGTTTTGATTTTGATTTATGATATTTTGAGTTACAATTACAACAATGCAAAAAAAGGGTTTTGCAGAAAAAGGGTGAAAAAAATAATTTCTTTGATAAGTGTATATACATCGAAATATTAATATTATTTATCAAAATATAGTGCATCAATTATTATGATATTTTATCGTCGTATAATCACATCGTTGATTACTTACAGATCAGTGTGAGAAGTTGGTGATATTCGAAAACTAACACCTCTAGGTACAGTATCGCTCGCGTATAATGCTTTCAATTCACTACCAAACAAGTGAGTAGCAAATCCAAAGCTGCAAGTGTGTTTGTAGAAGACCGCTACTAAGTCATCAGGGACAACATCCTTATTTGTATCTTTAAAAATGAAATGGGCTGAATGTGATGATTAACCAAAGAAAGGTTTATTCGTTTAAATTTATGTGTATCAAATGAGAGAATACAATTATTATATAATTGTAATTTACTCTTATTGACATATATAATTATTATATTATATTATTATAATATATTTTACATAAATTGTTACATACTAACGTTATCATACTAATTAATTAATTAATGTTCACAATAAATTTCTAAAATCATTATTAAATGCAATAAGAGAAATTTTATGTACCTAAGAAGTCTGAAGTGTCGTAGGTGACTCTTCCTGCAAAATGCTGAATACCGAAAGATCTACAGTCAACGGTCCTTGGTTCAAATAACCGAGGATTTTGCTTATGCTGCACCTTCACTTTGGCAACGTAACTTTCTGCGGTCCCGTGTATAGAGCCTTCCACATCTAACATACTTAGCAATCCGGTACGCTGTAAATAAAATGACGCATCTAATTAACACGTACATAATTAATACATAAAACAACTTTGTAGAGAAATTTCCTAGATAGCAAGACAATAGATGTTCAAGACGATAAATCAGTTTGCTGTCTGGGTTAATAATAAACTAAAGAAACGTGATATTTTTATTTAAATAATACATTTATGTGTTTAAAATATAAAAATTTAGAAAACTTTTTGCATTTTCTGATTTATTAACATTATTATTTTTTGTACATAAGCACAAATACAAGAATTAACTGTTTGCATTAATTTAAGTTTATTTGAAGACGTAAGATATTTAAATAAGCAACGATTGCTGAGTTATTGTCTTCGACAGAAAGGACTTACCAAGGAAGAAATGAGATCAATGCATGGCACGTTGTCGACATAGTCGACTTCGACATCGCACCGGATGCCTTCGTCACGGCAACTCTCGATGGAGCTCTTGAATATGTGAGTGTTGTAGAAGTGCTGCATCGTCTCCGCGCAAAGATTGATGCAGAGGTGCTCTAGCTGGCTTGGTTTAGGATCTTCAAACCCGAACATGTCCAGGATGCCGATGAAGCCGTCCGTGGCGTGTCGCACGGCGTTATTCAGGGCAGTCATGCTTCTGGATCCTGTACCCCCTGAAAAATCTCTAGCTCTTAGCAAAACTTTTTTTGTATTACACACACACACACACACACACACACACACACACACACACACACACACATGTAATAAGAAGCTTTATGCTTCTATGTATTATGCTTTTGAAATAATATTTAGAAGTATTTAGAAAAGCGTACGAATCTAAATAAATTAAATTCTTTTAAGCAAATATTAACTCTTTTAAATTAATTATTTAACTCTCAATTGTAATAATCATTCTGTTTTATTTAATAATATAGCATAACAAGACTGTACAATTATATCATTTAAAAATTATTAAATCACAATTAATATAATGCGTAATAAATTTTGTTGTAATGATTGTTTTAATAAAAACCTGCTGAACTGCCAATTGTAGAGGCATGTTGGCTAGTAACATCCGCTTGATTATGAACAGATTCATTGGAATCCGATGAAAGGGTGCCGAGAGTCGAACCAAGTCTCTTCAAGCTGTTGGCTCGTCTCACTATCGTAGCTACAGTGCGGCAATAAAGGGCTTTTGCGAGCGAATCCCTGGTCATGTTAGACTGCATAAACAAACATTTTTTTATCATTATAATATAATATTCACTGTAAGGTAATGCTTAAAGTGTTGAGCAATTTTTCGCACATTTGGTCTTTGTATAATTCAATTAAATAATTTCAATTAAATTAACAGAGAAAATGTGTAATATCTTTTAAATTATTTTGTTTAATAATAACAACAAGTAAATAACAAACCGATTAAAACAATAATAATGTAATAATATAAATTAAAGATTAAAGATTTTCCAACTATCCACATTAAACCTTATTTGCCATTAAAGGATAAAAGAATTAAATGAAATATCAAATTAAATTAGATATATGTATATCAAATATCTCAAAATAAAATGATTCTTTTGAAATAAAGAATCAAGAATTTTATCTTTTAATTTAAAAATTACAAGTGTTTATAGAAAAATTAATAAATGCGATATATGATCCAGATAATAAAAAAAATTTCAAAATTATTATAGAAGAATTGATAAGAATTCAAGGCTATCACCATTTAGAATAATTTAATATATATATTTGAGAAGTATGAAATTAATAATTTGCGTGTGGAACACATTATCAACTGAAAGGAGATTTAAGATTTGTGTAATTAAAGAATTTAATACAAGAAAATTGTATGATAAGTACATTCCAATGAGTTGCGAATTGTATGCGCGAAGATTTACACGTAAGCATTTTAATTGTATTAAATTTATGAGGTCAGTAACATAAAAAAATATATATATTGAAAATAAATAATGTAATTTACAATATAATTGTAATTTTAAATTACATAAAATAAAATTGTAATATATTATTTTAATGTAGAATTTAAATAGTTTGTGTCTTAAGAGTCAAAATTTGTGACATGTTAGGGATTCCAAGATCAAAGAATTTCTTGATCGGCAAATATTAATTTACAAGATGGAACATTATTTGTCACTGTTTCATCTCATAAAGAAAGTCTGATAGTAGTACCATGTTGGCATCGCAGATGGATTTAACGAGCTGGCCGCGCGCATTGTGAGTCCTCGAGGTGAGCCCTCGTAATAAGGCTGGCGGAGGAACTCCCAGGAGTGTAGCTACAGAGGATAATTCGTTCTCACCAATTACGCCAACTTCTACACCAGGACCATCTGTAAAACCGACGTTTCCGAGGATGAGTACCGCTGCTAGCACTCTTACGACGTCCAAAAATGGGATGCCTAAAACGCCTGGGGAAAAATCAAAGATAAAGATGGAAAATAATAATGTTTCTTATGTAAAAACTATAATTAGTATTAGAAATAAAAAATTAGTAAATTAAATTAAAGCTTATTTAATTGTGTATCACAAGAAGATTTACTAAATCAGTGGACATTGTTAAAAATAAATTTTACATGGTTTCTTCCATTTATTAATTACTTACCTAAACAAGCTTTCCACGCTTGAAATCGAATCGCATCTTCAGCTTCGTCTTGTCGTGTATCGCCATGTTGAAGATACCTCAAATTTTTGAGATTATATCCCTCTAAATTTAATTTAACTGCAAAAATTATTAGGGTAATTTATATATCTCAGCAATAAATTATTATTAATTGTTTTTAATCAATAGTTACATGATATAATGTTATTATAATTATTTGCATTAATTATAATATATTATAATATTGTTATAATTAATTGCATTACCTCGCTCGTCGTGAGATAATCCAGCCAACATCTGATAAAATATATGGTAATTCTTTTCGTCTGACAACGGTCTGATTACCCTTGTCTGGTCTAAGAAGTAACAATGAATTTTTGTTCTGTATAAAGCACCATCCGTCACCTGAACCTCAATGAAGTGACCCTAAAGAGATGTAATAAAATTGCAGTTCTAATTTTTTTCGTCGCTAATTATTATTAAATAATGTTGTTTTTACCATTGACATTATATTTATTGTTTTTTATCATATTGTTTATAATACTTCTAATATTGATGTTATTTCTAATTTCTTTTTTCATAATCCTATTTCTCTTCTCTTTTTCTGTTGTCTTCCATTTTCATCGATCTCATACATTTCGAAGCAAACTACTTACTATCCTTGAGCTCTCCGAGTTTGTGGCGGTTTTCGCTGAGCCCAAGGATCTGAGGACCGTGAAGGCTGCCGCTAGGTGTTTGAAAGCGTCCGTTTCCGGTCCGCCGCCGGCGACGTCGAAGAGTTGCCTAAGTAATAGCATCGAAGCGTACGTTTTTCCGGAACCGCTTGTCCCTGCAGAAGAAGTTCTAGAAATCTTCACGTTCGAAAAACGAAAGAAGATGGAGTTTGTTAAGAGTCTTACCAGAAAGAATAATCGCCTGCGGATACCCGGTCTCCGATTGCTGCCTTACGGCTTCCTGGACGACCTTGTTCAACTGAGGTGCTAATGGTACCGACCTGGTGCTCGTTAAGGTTAATGGATTTCCAACGTCTGTATAAGGATTTACGCAAACCAATATAGGACCCACGTTTGTCTGGAATAATATTTTCATTTTTTTTTTAATGTATCTGTTATTAAATCAATTAAATTTGTTATGATATTATTATTATTCTTAATATATACGTACGTCGGATATATTTAAAAAAACAATATATTTGAGTTTATGACTTCTTTTTATATCTAAGCAACAAATTATTTCTCTTATTAACAGTAATTAATTTATTACAAGTGTGTATAATTTTTTTATAATAGGTTTAGATTTTTACATAAGGAAATAAACAGTTATAACTAGGGATGCAACAGATCGTAAAATTACCGGATATCAGATATCCGGGCAGAATGTAACATCGGATATTTGGTATTTGATTGGATATTCGAGAATTTTTTTGCGTCGGATTCCAAGAAAGTGTCTTCTAAAAGAAAAAAAAGGCCTACAGGGAAAAGATTGTAATTTTGCAACATCATGTATAACATCATGAATATGCATACTTATTTCTAGAACATTTAGACACATAAGAAAAAATCAACAATTTAATAATATCAAATTTCAACCGGATACTTCCCCGGATACTATCCGGATGATATCCGACTATCCGGTCAGAAGTTAGTAAAAAAGTGCCGAATAATATCAGATACCGGATACTTTCCGGATATCCGGTGCATACCTAACTATAACTTAATGAAAATTTTAAATTTTCTCCGTTTAAATTCTTTAATATTAAAGTACAATTTTTATTTATTTAAAGATTTATATTTGTAATTAATTAATATTGATTTTTGTAATTAATTAATATTGAATTAATATGA